TTATTGTTACAATTTAAATGGGAATACATTAGATACTGTGGTTGAAGAAAAAGATCTAGGTGTTGTGATTGAAAAATCATTCAAGTCATCTAAACAGTGTATTGAAGCTAGCAATAGGGCTAATAGGATTTTGGGTAGCATCTATAGAAATATTGAATACAAGACAAGGGATATCATTGTTTCACTGTATAGATCACTTGCAAGGCCTCATTTAGAGTACTGTGTACAGTTTTGGGCTCCCTTCCTCAAGAGGACACTGAATTGTTGGAGAAAGTTCAGAAAAGAGCCACTAGGATGATACCTGAGATGGTGGGATTGTCCTACGAGGAGAAACTAAAATCTCTAAACTTGTTTTCTCTTGAAAGGAGAAGGGTCAGAGTGGATTTTATTGAAGTGTTTAAGATTATTAAGGGCATTGATGATATAGATCCACCAAACGTTTTTGTGTTTAGCAGTGAAAACAATAGGACAAAGGGTCATAAATTCAAATTTTGGCAGCGTAGGAGTCGTCTGCAGTTTAGACAGTATTACTTTTCAAACAGGGTGGTTGGCTTTTGGAATGAGATCCCTTCAAGGGTGGTGGAGGCAGAAAATTTAACTGAGTCCCAGAAAAGATTGGATGAATATATGATTAGTGAGGGTTGGTTATAGATGGGAGCTAGAAGGGACAACCTTGATGGGCTAATAAGCCCCTTTTTGTCCTTTTAACATTTTATGAATTTATAAATTAGGTTTGACCCTTTACATGCTTGCATCATCGGTAGAATCTCAGCAATAAGATAGCGTGTGAAACAGGAGAACAACAAGCGTTTAAGTTTGTTTGTTGCTAAACACAAATCAACACAATCAGCTATCTGTACTCTGTACATTTCGGGTATCTAAACCATTTTTTAGCGTTATAAGCCTTCAGACTTACAGCTGTTCCAAAACTATACAATGGTTTATCTGTTTTGGGCACATACTGTAGGTATCGAACCTTGGTTTTCAACGTTATAAGCCACAAGCTTACATCTAAGCCTCCAGCAGGCTATGAGCATATTCTACTTGTCAACTCTTTCAAAAGTTACGTCATAAGAAATAAATAATAAATGATTCATCAAAAGATCCATTTTTTTTCTGTTTCTTGTTATTTAACATTGGAAGTCCTACCTTTATTTAACTTTGATGTCTTACCTTTATTTAACATTGGAAGTACTACCTTTAATTAACATTGGTTGTCTTACCTTTATTTAATATTGGAAGTCCTACCTTTATTTAACATTGGAAGTCCTACCTTTATTTAACATTGGATGTCCTACCTTTATTTAACATTGGATGTCTTACCTTTATTTAACATTGGAAGTATTACCTTTATTTAACATTGGAAGTCCTACCTTTATTTAACATTGGAAGTCCTACCAACCAAGGAAAAATAACTGAAGATTTCTAGACAGTGTCTTTCCACTTCTGCATCGCACGTTCGTAGGTGTGTGTGTTTTGCTGTAATACCATATTAACCACGTCCTCGAAAAGCGATTAATTAAAAAAATCAGAGCATTTTGTACGATTCACTCAAATCTATTTGTGAATTTTTCTGGAACTTTCTCTATAAAAAAAAGCTTAAAATACTACAATTTTTCAAAGCATAGTTTGGTGGTTAGGGCGCTTGACTCGAGATATGCGAGTCGTGGGTTCGAATCCCGTCATCGCATATGCTCGTGGTGGGTCCGTTATAATTTGACGGTCAATCTCACTTTTTGTTGGTAAAAGAATAGCCATGGAGTTGGCGGTGGGCGTTGTTGACTAGCTGCCTTTTCTCTAGTCTATCTCTTTTAAATTAGGGACGGCTAGCGCAGATAGCCCACGAGCAACTTTGTGAGAAGTTCGACAAACAAACAAAGTAATACATTAAAAAAAAAGAAAAAAGAAACTTCAACTGGTTTATACTGCAACTAAATAATTACTTGTGAGTCCGAACTGTTTGTGTCACATTCAATGCTGATCAACGTAGTTCGGATTTATAACAATTTAAAATTTAGTATACCAATGTCATTTAGAACTGGTGAATATTTTCTTAAGTTTTCGAAACTCTTTGCTAAATTTAGTTCATCGTTTTCGCGCCTCCATATTCCACTTTTCTCACCACTTAGACCTTTATATATATAAATTGATTTTTGCATAAGCGTACTTTCATGTCTTTTGTTATTACTATTATCAATATATTTTCCGGGGGATGTGTTATCAGAAGCTTTCTTTTTAAAAAACAAACAAAATACATCTTACTTTAGAGTTTAGTTAAACATTTGAAAACTCTCCCAATGCCTTTGTTTACCAATTACGAACTCGTCATCCTCCGCGTCAGAATTCTCTAGTGTAAACATGAACAAACGTGTCAGGCAACAAATGGACCGGGCAACATTATATACAGTCCAGTCTCCATTACCTGACAACTTATGTGTTCCTGACCATTGATATTGTAATTAAATCTAAATATGAAATGGATACGGAGTAATCCCACATGGACCGTGAATATAATACGTTAATTGTTTAATGCCAGACAGAAATAATCGTTAAAATATACAGAACACTTAAGAAGCCGGTTGAAGCGAGCTGTAGATAACTACTGAAGCGACTGATGAGGCAACTATGAGGAGACTGAGCGACTGGTGAGCAACTATGACAACTATAAGGAGAATGAAGCGACCGATGAGCAACTATAACAACTATGAGGAGCCTGAAGTGACTGACGAGCAACTATGACAACTATGAGGAGACTAAAGTGACTGATGAGCAACTATGACAACTATGAGGAGACTGAAGTGACTGATGAGCAACTATGACAACTATGAGGAGACTGAAGTGACTGACGAGCAACTATGACAACTATGAGGAGCCTGAAGTGACCGATGAGCAACTATGACAACTATGAGGAGCCTGAAGTGACTTCTGAATAACTACGAGAAGACTAAAGCGACATTTGAATAACTATGAGGAGACTGAAGTGACTGACGAGCAACTATGACAACTATGAGGAGACTAAAGTGACTTTTGAATGACTACGAGGAGCCTGAAGCGACTGATGAAGCAACTATGAGGAGACTGAGCGACTGATGAGCAACTATGAGGAGACTAAAGTGACTTTTGAATGACTATGAGGAGTTAAATAAAAATAATTATCATAAAATAGTTTGAATTTAAAGCTAAGTTTTCCTGTCAAATAGGTAGGAAATTGAGAAATAAAAAAAACCTACATTATCATAAATATCTCGTACCAAACAACGATATTATATAAACTAAGCGTGGTAAACTGTAAGATATATAAACTAAGATAAGCTAAATGATGGTGAACAAATGTAGAGTAGTAAATCAAATGTAGAGTAGTAAATCACGTGATAAACTGTAGGATATATAAACTAAGGGTTTATCACGTGATTTACTACTCTACATTTGTTCACCATCATTTAGCTTATCTTAGTTTATATATCTTACAGTTTATCACGTGATTTACTACTCTACATTTATTCACCATCATTTAGCTTATCTTAGTTTATATATCTTACAGTTTACCACGTGATTTACTACTCTACATTTGTTCACCATCATTTAGCTTATCTTAGTTTATATATCTTACAGTTTACCACGTGATTTACTACTCTACATTTGTTCACCATCATTTAGCTTATCTTAGTTTATATATCTTACAGTTTATCACGTGATTTACTACTCTACATTTATTCACCATCATTTAGCTTATCTTAGTTTATATATCTTACAGTTTACCACGTGATTTACTACTCTACATTTGTTCATATATATATATATTGATATAATTCTTTATTTACAGTTGTTTTACAATCC